CCTCCTCCTCCTCCTCCTCCTCGTCCTCCTCGTCCTCCTCGTCCTCCTCGTCCTCCTTATCCTCCTCCTCTTCCTCCTCTTCCTCCTCCTCCTCCGTTCTCTTCCGCTCCCTGGAGCGTTCCCCTCAAAAGGGTTCCTCAGAGGCGGGGGGAAACACCTATTCTAATAGCATGGCCAGACTTTGGCCCAACGTTTGCCCGCATGGGCGTTTCCAAAAGGCACGGGTCGGGGGTGATGCGCCGTAGGCGTCTTCGATCCGCCGCCCTGTGTAGTTTGCTAGTCGGTGCCTGGCGTGCGAATCTTCGAGTGTCTTGGTTCTGTTGAAGGTTCCAGGCGGGGTCTCGGCCTGATGCGCTGGCGGCGCGAAAAGAGGCCTCCCAGCGGCTTCCCGCCTCACCCAAAAATACCCGTAACCTTCCCAGGTCGTCGGGCCTCCCGCTCCAAATTGCCCCACTATGGCCTCCACGACGGCAACGATGGTCTCCAAGACGGCTACGATGGCCCCAAGAAAACCCGAGATGGCCGCGAAATGTCTCTAAGAAGAGCCGAGATACTCCCAAGATGGCCTTCAGATCGCCCAAGACGGCCCGAGAGGCCTCGAAGACGGCCCAAGAGGCCTCCAAGAGGACCTCCAGGACGGTCCGAAGAAGCCAAAATCATTGATTATCATGCGTTGTGACGGATTCTGGAGTTTGCTCATGTTCAGCACCCCAACGGCCCAAGACGGCCCCAGAAGCCACCGAGATGGACCCAGGAGCGCCCAAGAGGCCTTCGACATGGCCCTCAGACGGCCCAAGAGGCCCCCAAGACGGCCCCAATATGGCCCGAAGACGGCCCAGGAGACCTCCAATACGCTCAAGATAGCCTCGAAGACGACCCTGAAGCGCCCCAAGAGGGCCCCAAATCGGCCCAGAGAGGCCACCAAGACGGCTTCCGACGGACCAGGAACGCCCTATGACAGCCAAGGGGCCTCCCAAGGAGCCTCCAAAGGCCCTCGGAGGTCTCCAAGACGTCGGATATCGACGCCGACGGCGAACCACCGCCGCCCACTGTCTCTTGGAAGCGCCTATACGACCGAACCTTGTGTAACCGGAGCTCGGCCATGCTACGGGACTGTGTTCCCCCAGCCGTTGTGGGAACACTTCGGGAAACACTTGGGGGAGGAAGGGGCATCGGACAGGAGGGAGGAGAAGGGAAGAGGAGGGAAAGGAGGAGGAGGAGAACTCTTGAGGGTTTTTTGGGGCACTCTTGAGGGTGGCACGTTGAGGAGGCGTGGAAGAATGCCACGGGCTGCCTGGCAGAGTCTCTGTAGTCCTCGAAGGGGCCCCCCATCCTCCCAGTCACGCCCAGGAGACTGCACTACCACTACTCCAGGGGGTCTCTGGGCGGCCATGAGGCCTCCCTGTTGCTCTCCAAGCCTTCCATGACGGCTGCAGGCGCCCATCCAGGCGGCCAAGAGACCTCCAAGACTGCTCAAGATCGCTCCAAGAAGCCTAAGATGGCCCCGTGACTGCCCAAAAGGCCTCCAAGACGCCCCATGATGCCTCTAGAACGCTTACAATTAGGGGGCCAAGAGGCCAAATTCATTATTGTTCCAAGACATTGTTTAAATGTGTTCGGTTCTCTCAGCTGTCCGGCTCCCCGACGCTCCAAGACGGTCCTGACAGCCACAAAGATCGCCCCAAGACGGCCGGAGCCTCCAAGATGGCCCCAGGACGGCCCACGAGTGCCCCAAG